AAATAACAGGGACCCTGAATGTACAAAACACATCACATAATGTAAATAAATTGTCACAGAAAAAGAATATGTGAATAACTCAATTTTGACAAAAATGTCAGATAGAACCTTATAATTCCAAGGGGACGATTTGTCTATGAAGCTTTGCCAGACCATAACTCAGTCACAACTGAGAATGGTCTGGTTTTAACCAGGCTAGTTCAACACGCATACCTCTGTTAAAACCTCAGAAAATTTAGTTTAGGGTTTCATGACCTTTTGAATTCGAGTCTCATTAACTTGTGCTCATTACATATAGACCTAAAAATAATACATGTCACCTGTGCAACACAATTCCTGCTGTCTCAGTCACATCACATGAGAGAGAACCATCCTGGGACACAGTGAGACAGATCTTCTTCCTAATCTATTATATAGATTACACATTTCTCCACTCTCACAGGAGATTCAGTGTTGTGGAAGAGACGTTCTGATGACAAGGTCTCAGAAGACATGGAGATGTTCATATATCACACCTCTATCATCTCTAGAATCAGATGACTACCACTGAACACAGGTTATGACTGGAAGTGATTTGAAGTCCATGTGGAAAGGGCTCAGGGCTGCAGACATTCTGATGCTGCAGATTAGATAATGTCCTTGTTTTTTTAGAAAACAAAAGACTCCAGAGAGGTCGCTATGCTCTAAACATTCAGCCCAGATATGACGCCCATAAAGTTTGTTTCGATTCCAATTTGATCAAAATCAACATCACCCAAAACAAGGGTTTAGAACAGCTTTATCAACATTTTTTTAAAAAAGTAAAAGAAGTAGGGCTGTCAGTTAAACACGTTATTAACGGCATTAACGCAAACCCATTTTAACGGCGTTAATCTTTTTATCGTGCGATTAACAGTCTTTTTGGCCTAGCAAACTTTGTGCTGCGCACTTTTTTCGCACGCTGCGCTAAACCCATTCATTTCAATGGCTTGCGCTGCGCGAGGACGATTTGTTGCTTCGTCGACCAAAGCGCAAGCGGATCTAACTAGACCGTAAACAAAACAACAGGCACGCCGCACACACTCGTTTGGCCTTGCGAGCCGGCCAAATAGTTGGTTAACGTTACGTTTTGAGTGGATGACGAGCGTGAGACGCTGAAATGGATGCCAATATGATTCTGAATGGAAAGTTTACTTTTAAAAAGTTGCCAAATGGTTCCATTGACAAGTCCAAAGTGTTCTGTGTGTTTTGTCGTTGTGAACCGAGCTATCATCATCGCAGCACGTCCAGTCTAAAAATACCGCTTGATGATGGCCAAGCACACACACACACACACACAGCTGATGCGAATTCTCCACTCCCTCGTCAATATCAGGACCTCGTCAGTATTTCTTTCACCCTTTTATTGATGGACTGTGTTACATTGAGAGGTTATTTCCTCCAAGTGAGAATGTTAGTGTGAAATTGAACACAGTATATGCCAATGTTGTTTTCAATAAACAACATTTGCACAAAGCAAGCCGATCCACTTTTCCATGTTGATAAGAGCATTAAAATGAGAAAAAAAATAATGGGACAAATAGAAATCAAGAGACATTTAAAATAGATAAAAATGTGTGATTAATTGCGATTAATCGCATTAACTCGCGATTAATCGCAATTAATCACACATTTTTATCTATTTTAAATGTCTCTTGATTTCTTTTTGTCCCATTATTTTTTTTCTCATTTTAATATATTAATATATTTCTCATTTCATTTAAATATTTGAATCGTTTGACAGCACTAAAAAGAAGCTAGAACCTCAAGGTAAATGTAGCAGCATGTCTGAGGAAGACTCAAAGAAGCAAATATACTGTATGCTGCAAAGCAACAATGCTCGCTAATGAGTATTAAAGGAAAGGGTAGGTAGAATTGTATTCTGGCCAAATTTCACTAAACTCAAGAGACATTCTGACACAGTAGCCTTTGTCCTCCTGCTCTACCATCACTAACAGGAACCGTTCCGCTTTGACCAGCTCAAGACTCGGGTCAAACATCTCTCTTTACCAGCCGTGTTGATGGAGGTGTTTATCCTATGTTAGCGTCTGACCAACAATTCAGATGAAATTATTCAAAAATTCCTCTACTTTCTTAGCTAATTTATATATGGCATAATTCTCACCTCTAAGAATTGTATACTTTTATAACCCTTTAACATCAGCTTTCTGACAACTGCATATGTCCATCAAATATTTACACTACTTTCCTTTTTCTCTTTTTTTTTCCCGAGATTTGGTTTGAGTGACAGAAGTCGCGCAACTGCTGAGAATGGCCAGTGGGATCCGTTACCAACAAAGAGGCATTCGACAGAACAAGATGAAGTAAAATCATAGAACGGTGTGAAATACACACACTCTTAAGTCATAACACTCCGTTCCGACAACACAGACTTGATGACTGTCATAATTTTGCCTGTTCCTTCTGTTTGTTTGGTTGCTGCCATATTGTTTTCTTTCCCTTTTTCTCTTGGCATGCAACTATCTGTCAGGCTGTTGTGCCAGAGGGGAACAAATCATCACTCTTCTGAAGAGACTGAGCCAACGAGCCCTGATCAATCACACAGATAGAGCTGCATGAGTCGGGTTAGAGGACGCATAGCTGACGTGCGGCACTGTTGTTTCGAGGCTGAGAGATTGAGGCTGTCAGCACTTTCTTAATGCAAATCCCCCCGGCCTTTGCTCTCTGACAGCCAGATCTAGAAGACTCATGCTGGGAGGAACCGGGGAAATTCCAAACACAGGGGGCGAATCGTGATTGCCTGACAAAACAGGCAACACTGCCTCACTCTGTCAAGACAATGAGCGCCGAGGCACAGCTTATCGAGAACACGCCCTGCGAAGAGTCCCGGCAAAGAACATGCCCCGTTTTCTGTTTTAGACTAGACACAGACACGCTTACGGTCAATTATAGTGTTATTTCATCATATTATTGATGAATATGTTGGTTAATGATCCTTCATATCATTAATCGTATAATTTCGTAATCGATGAAGCAGCAAGCACATCATAACAATTAAACTGAAGAGCTCGTAACACATCATATACATACATTTACATTAATCAGATACACCTTTCACAAGTCTGGGGTCAGAATATTCAAAAGTTTCAATTAAACTGATCAAAAGTGACAATATTTTAAATAAATTATTTTTATTCATCAAAGACAGCGCAAGTTTTTTACAACATTGATGATACGAAATATTTATTGAGAATGAAATCAGTATGTTAAAATGATTTCTGAAGGTTCATAAAAGCATTTATTTCATAATGTGATTTTCCCCAAACTTTCAATTATTTCACATTTACATTTATTCATTTAGATGACACTTTTATCCAAAGCAACTTACAATTGCTATATATGTCAGAGGTCGCACACCTCTGGAGCAACCAGGGGATAAGTGTCTTGCTCAGGGATTTTACTTCAATGAAAGTTAGATTTTTGCTCAAAAAAAAAAAAAAAAAAAAAAAAGATTTTTGCAACAACAAAAAAAAATGAGTGAAAGATAAAAAGGATAAACAACGCAGATTTATTTGTACGACCAGGGGTGCCAATAATTCTGACCACAACTGTGGCTATACATGAAAACCAAAATATTGATTTTAACTAGGGCTGTCAAATGATTAATCACGATTAATCACATCCAAAATAAAAGTTTTTGTTTACATAATATATGTGGGTGCACTGTGTATAATTATTATTATATATATATATATATATATATATATATATACACACACACACATGCATGTATATTTAAGAAAAAAATATTATTTATATATGAAGAGTTCAGATGCAAAAGCCTCTAAATGCCATTTGAAATTTTCTTCTTTAATGATGATTTTTATCAAACTTGTATATTTAAGTTCAGTAATTTCACTTAAATAACAATTAATAGGTAATTATCATTGCCATTTAAGTGAAATCACTGAACTGAAATATACAAGCTTGATAAAAATGGTCATTTTAGAAGAAAATTTCAAATGGCATTTAGAGGCTTTTGCATCTGAACTCTTCATATAAAATATTTATATAATATAAATTATATATAAATCTATATACAGTATAAACATGAAAATATTTCATGTTAAATATATAAAAGCATGTGTGTGTATTTATATATATTTAAAATAATTATACAGTGCACCCACATAAACTTTTATTTTGGATGCGATTAATCACGATTAATCATTTGACAGCCCTAATTTTAACGGAACAAACGTCTGAAAATAACTTTAATCGCCCCCTTAAAAGGGACAGTTTACTCTAAAATGAAAATTCTGACATCATTTACTCACGCTCAAGTTGTTCGAAACCTAATTGAAGTTCTTACTTCAGCTAAACGCAAAAGAAGATATTTTGAAGAATGTCAGTAACCAAACAGTTAATAGGCCCATTGATTTCAATAGTATTTTGTCCATACTATCAATGAGGCCTGTCAACTGTTTGGTTAACCATATTCTTCAGTTATGGTGTTCATCATAACCCAAAAGAAAGAACTTCATACAGGTTTGGAACAACTTGATGGTGAGCAAATGACAGAATTTCCATTTTTGGGTGGACTTCGTAAGTACTGAGGCTTGTCCCTGTCACACTCACCCCACAATGCACATTAAGCATGTTCAACTGACATGTCATATTTTGCTAACTAACTTTTTGTCAAAAAAAAAAAAAAGCAGCTGGGGTCCATTTGGTTCTGCTTGGTGACTAGAAATGTTCACTTTACCTTAAACACTTAAAACACACACTTTAAAACATAAAATTATCTAAGGGAGCTCGAGCTCTGGTATTCACGTTATCAAGAGCCGTTACACAGCAGCACTTTTGCAAGGCGTTAAAAACACTTCCTTCATCTTCATAAGGCAAACGGAACATATGATATAAACGGCTCATGCAACGTCATGCCACATTCACTCACTCTTTACCTGTTATTCCAAAAGCCCAGGAGAGAGATGATGGGTTACAAGGATAACAGTGCTTACCTGCAGAGGCCAAGCTGCTGAGGGTCAAAAACAGGATGGCGGAGGGGTGCATGTGTGCTGTTAGCCGCATGGCTGGAAGAGAACGCAGTCCTGAAGCCAGACGTGGCAGAAACAGAAGCAGCGGGGTGTCTTCTTGAATGGTCCACACACACTCTGTAGAATGAGAGAGAAAGATGTCAGTCACTGACCAAGCAGCAAAGTATTAGGGTCACATCCTGTGGGCTTAGATGGGACGAGACAGCAGGCTCTGTTTGATGTGACGGCGCTGTTATTCGCAACCGACTAATTAAGCATCATGTGAACGGTGGGGATGAGGAGAACAAGCAATCATGGGTCATCATCTAACAACTGCTGCATGAAAAGGGCCAGTTTCAAATTAGTAACAAGACAATAAATGACATGCTGAAGTGAAGATAACAGTCCGATTAGAAACCTGGAGTTTGCCGTTAAGAGCATTAACAGACAACAGCTAATTAACACGACCACAACTGAACTCGAGAGATAAAGAAGCCAACCCGAGTTCACTGCAGGGTGGGCTAATGCCAACACATGCCACACCAATAGAGCTTAAATACAACATGCATTAGTTTAAACGTACTCCACTACGTGACAAAATGACACAGTAATAAACTTAACAACTGCATCGTGACAGATATTGAGTCATCAAATTAAAAACCTTTCAAACAAATCTACACTGGCATTTAAACATTTACGTCTGCCCAGAGAGCCGATTCAGTTTGATTAATTCCATTCTGACAAAATGAACAATTTAGTTTTCCATGGCCATCGTCCCAAATCTAAGATAGAGATTCAGGGTTTTTTGAAGTAAATAATGGTGATGTTAGGTTAAAATCAAGTTCTAGGCAAGCATCAGCAAAAACGTATCCTAAAAGCAATTTCCAATTGTTTTTAGACTGTTTAGTATTATGGTAACACTTCACTGTATGTTGAGGTGATATATGTTACATTATTAGTTACTTACTATGATAATAATAATAACAGCAGATGATGCATAATTACTGGCTAAACCGAAGCTAAACCTTATTGTAAGAACATTTACAACATTACTCAGTATTTATTGTAATTACACTGTGACATCACCTTTAAGTGTCATAATTCTAAGAATTTATACTTTGTCGCAGGTCGCACAACTCTCTGCTGTTTTTTCATCAGCTCGTAAAGATTACCTATAATGAAAGTAGCAGATTTTAAGAGGCATACATCACAATGCCACACATTGTGCAAAGATACGCATACGCAGGCCAATAACACTTTATTATCCTGACCAAACAACATCACAGGTTTGTCACGCTAGTTTGCAGAAGCATTTCACTAATGGGTTTAGCAGCCACATTCAGAGCAAGCATCCAACCGTGCAGCGACGGGTGATGCACGGTCCCTGAACCCACCACCACATGCTACTAAAGCGCATTATGGGGAATCAATGTGTCAAATGTACACAAAGATGCACAGTGGAACAGGTGGATTAAAACCTCAAAAGTCAATCAAAACATCAATGGTTAAGAACGACCACATGCTACACAGGAGAAGAGTAATGAAAGCCCATCTTCATCAGTATCTGAAACTGCCACCAACTCTCTCGCTCTCCTTCCTTTATTCTATCTTTCTAACTTTTTCTCATTCTCCCAGTAAGGTGAGGAGAGCTCTCTCTCTCTCTCTGTCTCTCTGTCTCTCTCTCTCTCTCTCTCTCTCTCTCTCTCTCTCTCTCTCTCTCTCGGCAAACAGCTGCAGGAACAAAGAGCCATTCACACACGGGCAGCTGCTGAGGCTGGGAAGTCATTTTGGAGGATCTCAACAAATATTGCACTTACAGCACAGGGGCCCCAAGCCAGTGCCCCTCTGCCTTTGATTCGATGCCCCCTCTCCTGCCATTCTCACACTAATAGTAGGAGCATTTTGGATTCCTGAGATCAAAGAGGACATCATAGGGCAAAACAAAGAAAAACTGAAATCAAAAACAAACAAACAAAAAACAAACAAATAAAAGCACTTAAAGGGTTAGTTCACCCAAAAATGAAAATTAAGTCATTAATTACTCACCCCCATGCTGTACCAACCCCGTAAGACCTTTTTTCATCTTCGGAACTACATACAGTAGGCTCCTAATCAAAACTTGACGGCCCAGAAAGTCAATGAAGAAAATTTTTAAATATGCCATGTGACTACAGTGGCTCAGCTATAAGTTTATCAAGCAATGAGAATATTTTTTGTGCGAAAAAACAAACAAAAATAACGACTTTATTCGACTGTTACATTTCTTCCTTATAGGCCTGAGATGAGAGTTCAAGAGAATTAAATGAGATGAGAGTTCAACTTCAATTGCTTATTTTCAGTTCGCGCATGCGTCGTGGAAATCTCTTGAACTCTCGTCTCAGGCCCAGAAGGAAGAAAAGGAATAGTCAAATAAAGTCGTTATTTTTGTATAAATTATTTTTATATAAAAATAATTTATACAAATTAAAAATTAATTTGCATAAAATTAATTATTAATTATTCAGCATAAAAATTATTCTCGTCGCTGGATGAGCCACTGTAGTCACATGGAATATTTAAACATTTTCTTCATTGTCTTTATGGGCCGTCAAGTTTCGATCCCTTAGGCAGCCTATGTAGCAGTGATCCACCTCTAAAATTTAATCAAAAATATCTTCATTTGTGTTCCGAAGATGAACGAAGGTCTTACTGGGTTGGTACAGCATGGGGGTGAGTAATTAATGACTTAATTTTCATTTCATTTTTGGGTGAACTTGCCCTTTAAAAAAGTAACAAAAAAAATGGGGCAAAACAAAACTAACATGTAAAAAAAAAATCTGCTGGCCTAGTTCTGGCAAAACAAAGCAAAAATAAAATAAAATAAAAAAACAGAAAAAAATAAATAAATAAGAACAAAAACCAATAACAATATTTTTCAGCTGTCCTATTTAGCCTAGTTAAATAAATACATAAATAAATAGCTAGCAAGCTTAACAGGAAGTTAGAGCAAAACAAAATACAAAACTAAACTTTAACTTTCTTAGTAGAGGTCCTATGCACTTCATTTAGCTGAGAATATCTCAACTGTTATAGACTAATATGACCTCATTGAACAACATGGGATGTGTGCCAAAGAACGCATTGAGAAACGTCCGCGCACATGTATAAGAGATGCATGATGGCTGAGTGCAAAATTCGAATGGCACCTTCTTCGTTAAAAGCTAACGTATGGAAAATTGGCAATTTCATTGTGACCTATTTTGTATATTTTTGGATGAGAGCTGCTTTACACTGCCCTCCATAGTCACAGTGTGTATCAGTGCAATACCAGTAACAAAAGGTTACATTTTAACTGTCCTCTCTGAAGATGTTCACTCACTTTTTTTTGTATAAGCTGTTTTTGTATGAGAGCTGCTGGTACATAATTCTATATTTTTGTATGAAAGCCGTTTGTGATTTTGCTACAGTAAAATGTTTATCTATTTATTTTTGTCTGAATGATTATATTGCTCATTGCAAGGCAAGGCAATTGTATTCATTTACTACAAGTATGCTGCTAATTCAGGCACACATTTATTTTCCTGTTGGTTCTTTGCAATGTTGGGACATATGCTGGCAAATGTAACCTCACAGTTGACTTTCCAAATCACTTCCATTTGTTTTATTAATAAAATTAATATTGGAGGTATTGGAAATAAACTCGTAATGGGTCATTATAAATACTTTGCTTTAAAAGTACTAAGTCACAAAAAAAAAAAGATGAGTCAGGTGCCAAGAAATTCTGGCTAAGGCTGATCGCACAACTCAACCATTAGAACAATCGGAGTCATCTCAGCAGAGACCTATTAATGATCCAACTTATGTGCAGGCAAGCGTCCGCATCGATCGAGCACTCTTTCTCCTCCGTTAGCTCACGCCAGTGAGCAAAGCGAAAGCTGGACCAATGTGTTAATCCTAGTCCTGGCTTTTAATTTGTCACTCTCCCCTTTTCTGTTTTAGTTTCCTCTGGAAAAAAACGTTGCCTTCTTCCTTGTAGCTGTTGTTCGGCATGACGAAAACATACAGACGGCAATCAAACGCCAGTTGAGCATTAACGTTAGATTCTGAGGAAGTTGTGGGTGGTGGGGGAAGTGACGTATGCCGTAAAGCGGTCGAATTTTGTAGTTCTTTTTGTGCTCGGGTTCCTACCCGAAACCTGAAGTTACAAAGTGCAAGTAAAAGCGATACAGACACCTCCAGGAGACGGCAGACGCGTCATTTAACCTATTGCAAGTCGATCTACCATCTCAATGGGTTTTGGTAATATATTATAAAGTTGAAGAGTTCCACGGTGTGGCTTTAAGACCAGTGCAACTAAAAATGTATACGTCTTTTGTGGTTTGGTTTAGATAGGAAAACAGTTAAACAGAAGAAAATACACCATTGTTAAGAATCTGTGAAAAACCGATTGCCCAGAAACTACTAAATGCGGCCTTGTTGTTCAAGGACCATGTGTATCCTCAAACAGTGGTAATGTGTGAGGTATATGATGTTTTTGCAGCTGATATGCAATATCATGACCCTTTTCGTAAAGACTGTTTCAATAAGTACATTGCCAAAATTGAGGACTAACTGAAAAACCTTGAAAAGGAGGATTTGAACAACAGCTGAAGACAACTCCTTGAAGGCTAGATTTTCAGCTCGTGGGCTTGATTTGAGCAAAACAGCATTCATTCTGACTTCCAGAAGGTTCAACTCAAGTTGTGTCAAACCGAGCTGCAAAGCAGCTAATCATCTAGCTTTACATACATACCCAAGTAACAAACGAACATCTCAGATGGTACTTTCCACCAATGGTTCTCCAGAAGTCTTGGTAGAGTCCCTGAGAGTTTCCCCTGTCAGAGGTGGCAACTTAGCCTTGTAATACCAGACTCTGCTTCTTCACTTTGCTTCGTAGACAGAGTCTGGAATGGTATAATGGAGAAGTGATTTCTCTCTCGCTAGGGGGCGCTTGTCTGAAGTTTAAAATCATTGGTTACCCGTAAGCCAATCAGATAAGTTTATTTATGACGTATTGTATGCGCCGACACAGCCGCATCGAACCAGAGACATCTTGCATCAAACTCAAATCTATGATCGAACTTCCAATGTAACACTTGATTGAGCGAAATACCGGAGTG